AACTTTTTTATTCCTTGGGAATTATTGAATTTTGAAGCCATAGCATAATTTATGTAATTTTCTCCGCAAAAAGCATAATTTTATAAGCTGAAGTGCTTTTATAGGCGAGATTTTCTTGTTTCTCTTCCTAAATGTTCGTTCAAGCATAACGAAGGCGGCGTCCTCGACATGGCTGGAAGAAGTTCATTGTTCGGTCAAGATTTGAACAAAGGAATATTAAAACGAATCGGTCTCTTTTGCATCCGTTTGTATTTGCCTCATTTTCTCCACTCCAACGCCCTCATCTTCCCAATGTCCCTGTAATCAAATCCCGTTTCCTTCGGTCATCTGCTACCAGGAATTCACACACTGCTTTCAAGGTACATCAGATTTTGTTGCAAACGAATTCCATGTACAGAGGGCACTGAATGCGCTTTGACCAATAAAAGTGCCCTGAAATGTCACATTAGCAATGAAAATACTGAAGCAGTCACTCTACATTTTTCAGACCATAGGTTGAGCACAGGGTGTTAAGCGGAGTCCGTATATGGACTTATTTACCTTTTATTCAAAAAGACACATTAATAATCAGTGTACTGCATCCATTCTCAAAAAAAGCTACAAAAAGGGAAGAAAGCTGCATATCAGACAAATAGTCTTTGCCTCATTTTATTGCTGTTTGCATTGCTGAAGCAAACATTGCCGCTGGGCTTGCAATTGGCCCCTTGAAAATACTACTTTTTAAAACGTCATTCCCTGACAAGCTCTCCGATTCGGCAAATTAATCTCAAGTGAGTTTGCCAACTTAATTCAAAGAAGCTGCAAGTGTCCGTAAAAGGGTTTTGAGTTTAAAGAAAATGGGAAAATGTCAGTGTCCCATTTCTGCAACTTCTGAGTTTCGTTACCATAAAAAAGGGGACAGAAATCCTGCTCTTGATGTTCTTACTACGGACTGAACCCCCCCTGTCCTTACTAAAATATTCAAAGTAACAGACGTCGTTTGAAGAAATTGTTGATGAGGCTAAATCGTTCACAGTGGCAAGAGTGGAACTCTTTCCGAGCAAATTCTCAAATTCAAAGCTAGGGACAGAATACCTTTCCCTGGATTAAGATTGACACATTCAATAAACCAACAATTGATAATATTAAACTCTTTCCGTTAAAATAATCAATACTTGTGCATAGTTCGGAAAAAGTATGTCTCAGGATTCCCTCTGACTTATTTAACTGATATTATTAGAAATTGAAAGATTCAGCTAATGTAACATTAATTTGTTCATTTTGTTCAATTAGAAATGAGTTGCAGTTAAGTTCGAGTCCTTTCCTGCTCCTTCGTCCTCCTGGATGTCTGCATGACCTGAAATCTTCTTGTCGTCAAACAGAAAGGCCCAAACAGGCACTGTCGTAGCTACTGGGGACATCTTGTGTTCAATGTAGAGGTCTCAGTGACACGAACCAACCGGCCGAAAACGCTTCCTAGTGAAGGGGGAAAAACAGAAATGCAGCAATTTTAAATCGGCAAAACCTCAAGAAAAGGATACCATCCTTCCTGAAATATTTTTGTTTTGTTTTATTCGAAGATCTCAACTTTCTCTTCAAAATCAAACCAAAGACTGACAAGTTGGATGGCCTTGATTATCGGTTGCCATTTAGTGCAATTTACAATAAATGACAATTTTTTAATCCTAAATGCACTGACAAATTATCTGTATTACCTAAGCATAGAACTTTGATAAAATATCGTTTCAATTTTCAAACATGCATTTCAATGACGAAACAACGGTGTGAACCCTAAACATCCAGATCAAGTTTTTGCCCAAGCTCAAAGCTTTGCTGATCAAATAAGTCTTGGAGTACCAGGCGATGCTCTTATACCATGATAAACATTCTTAACATCCAAAAAGCAACTCTTACATCACGTGAACAACATTATAATGGGTGATGCATATCTTGTTGTCATCATGAAGTGAAATTGTGAATAAAAAGGTCAAAAGTAAATTTAATGTTACAGTTATCAATTTTTTTTATTTTTAAAATTTTAAAATTTGTAATTTTTTTTATGTTAAAGTTCTCATCAGAAATTAGATTTTACCTTGCCTGGTGACCTTAATCTG